TATTGAACCAGGCAAGACTGAGGGCTTTTTAACAGCCCTTCTGCTTCTTCCTCTCTTACTCATTTCTTTTTCTCTCGATCTATCTCTATTTTTTTTCTTCTTTTGTCTCAGTGTCTCTCCAGCTCCAGTAACAGGGAGAGGTTTAAGGCTATTCATATACTCTCTTTCTCCCTCTGCCCCTCCTTCCATCTGCCTGTTTCTATCTCTGTCATCCGGGGAGGCTTTAAGGCCTGCGCTAATTGATATTCTCACACATTCTGTAGTTCTCCTTTCTTTGCTCTTCATCTCTTTTCCCCCACCCACCTCCCAGTTGTGCTCTTCTTTTTTCCTTTTTCTGTCAAACCAAGAAAGTTTGGAGTGCTTTCAGCTTCCATGCTATGTGATATTCACACATATTCTCTCTTGTTCACTCTCATTTTCCCTCTCTTCCTTTGCTTTTAAGTCGATTCATGAGTCTCTGCATCTGTCTGTCAGATAGACGAGTGTGATGCTTTCCCGCAGACCTGCTTACTCTCCTTTTTTACTTCTATCTTCCTCTGTCACTCATTTTCCTCCATCTTTTTTAGTTTTTTTCCCTCTTCTGTCTTGGGTTGAGGCATTTCTGCTGTCTTGCTCATTTTTATTCTTACCTATCTTATTCCTTATTTTTTCTCTCTCTCTCAGGTCAGCATGCTTCAGATGTGTGTGACTGACACTATATATATGAAGTGGCAATGCAAATCAATTCTTCATCTATTTTCCTGTGTCAACATGGCTGTTTCCTTCTTATTTCACTCTCCCTACATAAGTTTATCTCCAGCTGCAGTCCATTTTTAACTAGATTTAGATTCACATCGGTGGCTGTGGCTTCATTGCATGAAATCTTTAATTCTCTAGTAGATATCACATTGCATTAATGAAGCAAAAGGTCACGACCTGTGAGCTTTCCCTGTAAATCAAGAGAAAAGTTGTGAGAGTTTCTAGGTTTCTTGTGATAATTCTATTGTTGATCCCTAAAGGGAAAGGCTCCGACTTTGCAGGGAAGCTACAGAGCGGTGCCTCTGGCAGGCAGGGAAACATTATCTTGCTCGAGGACACTTCAGCAGAGCTTATGCCTGTGTCACTACGGTGCCATGGTGTTGCAGTGAGAGAATTGTGGATGTGGAAGTGCTATGTTACATGTGACTCTAGTGTGGTTTTCTTTTTAAGACTGTGTTAATTTTCAGGTTATGGCACAATCATTGTTCTGCACTGCAGCATCTGCCATTGAATAACTGCACATGATAGGTATCACTACAAGATGGTGGAGGTGTGTTGCCAGGGCGACAGGTAAATCATTTGTTTTTCAAGGTCAAGCCAACTAAAGCAGAAAAATGTTGAATATGTCACTGCTCCCACACCCATGACACACAGTGCCGCCAGAGTACATTTATAGGTTTAACAATGGTATTTTTTTTCCTACTCATCCAGTTGGCAGATGTTCTTAGAGTAAAACAGGAAAAGAGTACTTAATTATTTTATGTTAGTTTATTTGAGCTGCATTTTTAATAAAACAGAAAAATTCCACGTGCCCCTGATGCGCGTCTACTAAGCAAACATGAGCCCTTTTTCTAGAAATGTTGTTTTGAATAAACACCACAAAAGCCAAATGGAAATTCATTAGGCCAGTGCCTGTCCATGCATCTCTTAAACCAAAACATTAATCAGAACTGATGAGGGGTTTTCAGCTACCTGTTTTCCCAACATAGTGGCGAGATGCTGCCAACTCCTGTCATGCCTTTTGTATGTGTGTTTGCAGTAATTGCTGCTGCTTATAAAAGTGTGCTGTCTTTATCCACCTTACTCTGAAATTGCCAACAAATAGTACAAACACTATGAGATTGAATAATCATTTTCTACTCAAGGTAACCACTGTTTTCAGAGCTGTTTGCTTTTGCTCTGCATAATTTAAGGTACCTGCCAGCATGTCTCTGCTCCAAACACCTATTTTAGTTGCTGCATACCTAACTAGCTAAAGAGGGATTATTGGTGTACAGGGACAATTAGAAGAAAGTCAGCCAATAGGAGAGTGCTGAGGAAAAAGATGACATGCTTATCACTGGGTGAGAAATAAACTTTTTTGTTTTTCATGTCGGCTGCAGACTGGCCACTCATACAGCTGAAATAAAGCATACAACCCAGGCAGGTCCTTGTTGGTGAGCCCTGCATGTATTATCGCTGATAAATGTGGAAAATTACCTCATTACCTGTCTTTTTATTCAGCCCTGTTTATTTGGCTTTTTGTTTCTTTTTTTCCCCCTTCATTTTTGTACTCAAAATTCCACGCTGTTTGGATAAGTCCAAGAAAGGTGGAAATTGAGAGAGAGTTTGTGGTGGGGGGAGGAAGAGACCAAAGCTGATTGAGATGAATTGATAAAGCAAGGGAAGAAGGGAGTAATTTAAGGAATTAAGTGAGTAAACAGAGAAAAGCGGAGGACCAAATAAAAAGTATTGGAAGGATGAAAAAAAAAGCATGGTAAGAGGAAGAAACACAAGGAAGAGATAAAAAAAAACATGATGATAAAGTATGCTGAAGGGCCGAAAGAAAACAAACACTGCAAAGAAGATGAGAAAGAGGTAGGAAGGACATAGTGGTTGTAGTTTTCAGTCTGATGGGCATGAATATTGCCTGTGGCTAATTGTTTCTTACTGGGATTAGGTAAACACAAAACCCCATTTGTGTTTCAAGTGCACTCATTCCACATGAAGGGGAAAGAGAAAATATTTTTTTGTAAATGGATGTCTGGAAGACTATGTGGAGAGAGAGGAATGGTTGAAAAGTTGAGGAGGTAGCTTGTAAAAGACTGAGGAGGGTGGTTGCCAACATGTCAATATGTTGTTGCTATGTGGCTACTAGGGCATTGATGGATATTGTGTTGGTGTTCTGGTTGGTAGGTTGTTAGGGTGTGACTTGGTTGTTACCAGGTGGTGATAGTGGCATCCTCGTGTGGTTGGAAGGGCACTGCTGAGTGGTTACTGAAGTGTTTGATGTGGTTGCTAAGGTAATTGTTTGCTAGGGTGTTGCTTGGAGTTACTTGGGTTTGCTAGGTGGTTGCCATGGTGTTTTGATGGTTGCTAGGTCGGGACTGGAAGGCTTGTAGGGTGTTGAGGAAGGTTGCTCTGGCAGGTAATTTCCAGGTATTTGCTGAGGTTACATGAGTTAGTTTGGTGAATGTGGTTGCTAGAGAGAACTGCATGGTTGCTAGGTGTATTGTATTTGTAGGGTGAGGACATTGATGACATCATCCTCTGTGCTACTACACACAACAAACACTAATTTAAGTATAGTGTAATTAACAGTGGTGATTGTTGCCTAGCAATTGCATTAATTAGACACCAAAAATATTCACTTTCAGCACTGGCTATGTTTTATTAAAATCAATGTAATTTGGCTGATATAGAAGTCTGTGAAAATCCTACTAATTGAGCCTCTCCTACTGTGGTGCACAGCAAGTTGCCAAAATACCTCATTGTGGATTTTTACTTCCTTTAGGTATTTCATAATTACAGACAAGGCTAGAGTTAGGTTGAAGAAAATGACTACATTGAGAGTGTGTGTGTGTGTGTGTGTGTTGTGTGGTGGGTGTGTGTGTGTGTGAGCAGGACAATTAAAGTGGGAGGGATAATAGGTACAGTTGGACATGTACCAATTCTCACAGAACTGGACCTCATTCATAACCTGTGGTAACAATGAGAGACCGAGACGTCTACTTTTCTCTCTCTATCGATTTTGTCTTCCTCCATCCATCTTTCTTACTCACTCTCAATAAGACTCACACCCTTTCTTGCTTATTCGCTCTCTTTTACCCATTAAATGTACATCTCTCATGACTTATGATCACAACAAGAGAGAGCCTTTACTTCTCTGTCTCTGAGTTTCTCTTTTTTCTTTTCGTGTGATTAGATTTCTTTCTGGCATATTGTGCCATGTTTTCTCATCCCCCCTCCCCATACTCCTTTTAAGTGTCTTTCTCCTCCTTTTGTCTCTCTTTCAGTTCAGTTTCTGTTTTTATCTCATGCAATTCCCTTTTCTTTAAATTTATTTCTGTTGGTATTTTCTGTTTTTTGTACAAGTGCTTTATTTTTCCCCTGTCTGTCTGACACACTCCTTTGTCTGTCTGTGTTTTTGTTCTCGTAGTCAATTTCCAATCTTCATCTTCACACTGTTTCTCTCTTGGTTTGCCTCAAACTGGTAACTGTTTTTATATATCCTCAGCATCATCCCACAATATCAATGACTTATAGTACACAGGTGGAATTTCCATAATGCGGTGCTTTCACCACATGCACACTGTAATTGGATTTCCTTTATGCTACGCCAGATTCAGCAATTTGATTTGATTGTATTGCTGCATAAAAGACAAAAGGTGAGTAAGACAGAGAGAGGAGGATAAAAGGTTTGTGTTAAGCCTTGTTGGTGGTGAGAAAAGAGAAGGGACATAAACTTATCCATGCATGTGCACATTCAGTCACACATCTCTACAGCACACACACGTATGTATTATACAACACAGCATAGATTAAAGATGAAAGGTGACAGTGCCATTCAGTTTATTAAAATAAAATCTATCGTGTGTATGTAATTTGTGTATTTAGGCCTTTCTGCAGAGGCATAACGTGCTATTTCCGATATAAACATTATATTTTAAGCAAACACTATATTGATGTTCATATATTAATAGCATTTTGAACAGTGTCCTTTTGTAATACCACAATTACATTGCAAGAAATGATAATCATTCCAACTTTTACTGTCTTTGTTTATTCCTACAAAATGCAGCTGAAGGAAGATGCATCATCCCCTATTTTATAAAGAAATTGGCCACCACATATCACTGAACTTTTATCCTTTTTACTTTTTGGGAGTCATGGTCATTCCCGTGTTGATCAATAAAGAATGGAGCCATTTGAGAACAGATCGATACGTAAAAGTATCACATTAAATGACAAAGTTGACCCTCTCTCCACTGTTTTTATTCCAGGAAGTGCCGGTACACCTGTGGTTTTCAATGAGAATGGAGACGCTCCAGGAAGATACGATATCTTCCAGTACCAGATCACCAACAGGTCCACTGCGGAGTACAGAGTCATTGGATCCTGGACCAATAAACTGCACCTCAAAGTGAGATTTTACACACTCATGCCAAGCTTTCGTGGCATGGCTATTATTTTTTCAAACACATACTGTATAGCATCAAATATAATTACCAGTTGCATGCAAGAAAGTCAAACAAGAAAGAGTAAAAGCAAAGCAACATTGAGTAAAAGAGGTTTAACTGTAGCTACAGTCATCTGGTTGCATGTGTGTGTGAGAGAGACCAAGATGGGTTAATGTCTCCATATTTTATTAAGTCCCATTAATTTCCTGCTCACACCACTCATAGGGAATGCAATACATAAGTTATAATCTAAGTACAAAACAACACATATATTATTGCTCATGTGTTTCCAGCTCACTGAATATTGAACCTTGTTTTCCATCTCCACTTGTTCTGGTCACTGACTTCTGTGTAATAAAGAAAAAATGCCTTTACAATAATCCAAAATGCATTTTGATTTGAGTGGTTTATTGAAGCTTTGGAGGCATTATAGACCAAATGCCTTGGCAGAATGAAAGTTCAACATCACTGTGAGCAGCTGCCATGAATTCACAATTCCCTGTTAGTGGGCTGGATTTGTTTGAGTTATTGCTTTCATTCAGACACAGAAGTTAGCTGAAATTGAGCTTTTTTACAATAAAGTGTGAATGTTTTCTTCTTTTCAGAATGCTGAGTTTTGTGCAGGGACATACTCACAGTGACACACACCCACACAAGGTCACTCACACAGTATATACTGTATGAAACACTGGCACCAGAACTGGGGTATACATCTGAGCATTGCATACATTCACACAAAAATACATAAATTAGCTGGAATCCTATTGTCTTAGTCTCTCACACACGCACATATGCACACACAAGATCCTTAAGTGTGCTGGAGTGCTTTGTGTTATAAATCCACCCAGGACTTCATTAAAAAGGCCAGATGACAGATGAGAAGACTAATAGACACGAAGTGCTTTCTGCCTGATGGACGGCCTGGCTGAGAGAGAGAGGGAGACTGCAGGAACACAAAGGACAATACATAGTTAAGACACACATGATTGGCCACTTTGACAGTTGACAAATTAACAGATGTATTTGATTTGTTAACAATTCAGTTGGGTTTGAAGGCACAGTGGCAGATGTAGTGATGGCAGCAGGTGAACACTTTCATGATCAACAAACTGTTTGAATGCTGATCAGGGTAAAGAGACCTGAATCCTTGCTGCAGTGGCTAGGGGTTTGACTCCGACCTGTGGCCCTTTGCTGCGTGTCATTCATGTATTCAGCTATCACTATTGATTAAAGGCAACAAAAGCCCCTGATCCCATTTGCTAGTGTAGGTCACAGAAGCGTCAGTAATAAATTTAGACCGTTAAAGCAGATTCCTATTACAACTATTATTGTGTCCTTGAAGTAATTAATAGAAGAGAGGTTCATGACCGGGCCTGTGTTGTTTTCGGTTGTGCATAATTTATGGTTATTGTTAGCAAATAAGGTGTGTATCTGTGTGTTTGTAAATGTTTTCCAGATCGGTTAAGGCTATGAATAAGTAATGAATAAAAGTACTGAATAAACAGGAAAAAACTGAACCCAACAAAAACAGTTTTAAAAGTTTTAGACAACGCTAATACCCTCCTTAGATTATTTCTACTGACAGATATATCTACAGCACAAAGTTGTGAAACAGCCAGAAACCCAATATTGGTGTTTAAATGCTGAAAGTGTGTGTCTCCATATGTGTGTCAATGATCAAATCAAGTCCATTTTCTCCATCCCTGATGGGTTTTTCCTCTTAACTAGTTTTTGTTGGACTGGTACATCATGTGCCTGTTTAAAACAGTAATGCTCCATTTTACTTGTCACCCTCGGCAACGGTTGAACCTCTGGGACTTGGTGTAATGACAGAGTTACAAACAGGCACACACATAATGACACATTAAAACGCACACATCCAAACTCGCACATAGGAGACATACGGAAAGCTCAGGGATTCACTCTAATGCCAGCATGACACAAGCACAAACAAACAAAATGCACACATGTGAGAACATATGCACACACACTGAAAGACGCACAGACGCAAACACACACACACACCCACGCACACACAGAAGGCAATACAGATGGCCTATTTGTGCCAGATCTGATTATGGTCTGATTGCTGGCTTCCAGACTAGCTGGTGTGAGTTTTGTGCCTGGCAGCACTCAGGAAAACAATCTGAGGATCTGCTTGTGCTAATTGCTCTCTGAGTTGCCCTGAAGACACACTTTCTGCAGGTACAAAGAAAAGTGAGTGTTAAAGGACTGTTAACACCGAGTAATGTTAGCTTCGGCAGATGGCTGCCAATCTCTGTGTCCCTCAATATCCCACAAGAAGGTGGGATGTTTTGTTTTGCCACCTGAACACACACATAATTTAAGACAAAAACAAACAAAACTGACATTAGCCATATGGAACAGATCCCATACCTTTATCCAAACGTCTTTCTCTCCTCTCCTTTCTTCTCCTCCTCTCCTCTCCTCTCCCAGGTTGAGGCCATGCGTTGGAAGACAGGTGACCCATCCCTCCCACCCTCTGTGTGCAGCATTCCGTGCCGTGCGGGCGAAAGGAAGAAAGTGGTCAAAGGTGTGCCGTGTTGCTGGCACTGTGAGCGCTGTGAGGGATACAACTATCAGGTACATCTCTCCAGAAACACAAGCCACCACTACCTGCTGTTGGCTCAGTTTGAAGTACACCATTCACCTATCGTGCTGGGCCTCCATTGCTTGTCACACATCTCTCTGTTCTCTCTCTGTTCCTGGCTGTGTTCATTTCGCAAGTAATGTAGTGTAAATATATATATATAATACTAAAATTACCATGGTTTATAGGTTGCAGGAAGCAAAATACACTTAAAACTTAATCTCAATCACAGAAAACGTAGTTATTGATTTTTTTCATCATGCACTCTGTCCATTTTTTTCTGTCCATCTTGTTTGTGTAAAGTAGAAGTAAAGGGATTTGTAAATTACCTTGATTGTTTGAAGTTAAAAGCTGGGAAAAGCCTCCAATTGATCTGTCAATAAAAATGTAGATTTTTACCAAATGTTTAACCTTGGTTCAACTTCCTGCACCCGCGCAACAATTAAAGCCACAGTCCTATTTGTTAGACGCCTTTTAATAACAAATCAACTATAAGATTTGTTTTCTATAACAGCACTTTGAGATTAGAACATGTTAGTCTCTGCATGCACAGGCTTTCTGACAGCTGTCGCCTGCTTACTTTTACACTACACATGAGTTCTGTTCCCCTGTGTAGTGATCACGGTTTTTTGTTTCAACTCATTTCAGGCAATCAAAAAAAGTAAACCACTTAGGTGGGCCATTTTAGATTCATATATACAAGGAAGAACCCCACAGATGCTATTATAGTAAATTGAAGCACATAATTTGAGGTGAGGGGGAAAAAGGGTCTGAACACACATTATAAAGATACATCCCCCATGTTAATTATATCACGGTTGGGGACAATTTGGCAGCCCATCATCATTCTTATTAAGTTAGAAAAATCCATGAGTGAGCAAGAATATGGGCAAAGCGTTCCCTCGTTCAGGAAGCAATAAAGGAAAAAATAAAATATCAGCCGTAACAGCAGCAGGCGATGCTTGTCAGTGCGAGCAATCAATACTCATTTTGCAGATACATGCGTTTGCTGTAAAATCCATAATCTGTTGACACATTTATTATAGATTTGGGATATTACTTGGAATGAACATATGTGACAAAAACAAGTGAGTGAACCAAAAAGCAAGTGTACAAAAATGTGTAAAATGTGTGCTTTTCTTCTCATTACCCACTCAGTTTATAGAAGCAGATAACACACAATGGCTCAGCCTCAACTGCTTGGTAAATGAATCAGCTGTTGAGATGTTTTTGGATGAAAGCATTGGGGATTTACAGTGTATTTTCTTAAATGTGGGAGCTTTAAACAGATTTACCGCACTTCCTGTAAGAGTTTGGAGTTTGGAACCTTATTCAACTGTGCTTATGCTTATTAATATTGCACTTGGTTCACCCAGATTTGCCTCTAGCTGGCCCTAGCTATATTTGACTTGGCTTCTTTTTTTGCAATATCCGGCTCCGTTCCCTCCATCTGTCTCAACATGTTCAGAAATTTGTCAAACAGCCAAAAGAATGCTGCGTTATCAAAAGCATAATTAATCATTTGTATGCCTATTGAAAAAGTCTCAGGCCCCAAGCAATAATTGAGAAAATTGACAGCTCCTATTTGCTAAAGATCAGCTTAAACATCACTCCATGCACTTGCCCAGCACAGTTCAATATTTTTTGATGAATTGATATATCGGAGCGCCAGATAACATCAGACTGTCTCTCCCCAGGCATCTGAATTCACCTGTGAGCTGTGTCCGTACGAGATGCGACCTGATGTCAACCGCACCGGCTGCGTTCCCATCCCCATCATCAAGCTGGAGTGGCACTCCCCCTGGGCCGTCGTCCCCGTCTTCATCTCCATGCTGGGGATCATCGCCACCTCTTTCGTCATCGTCACTTTTGTCCGGTACAATGACACGCCCATCGTGCGTGCGTCGGGACGGGAGATGAGCTACGTGCTGCTGACTGGGATCTTCCTGTGCTACGCCATAACGTTCCTGATGATCGCCACGCCGGATGTGGGAGTGTGTTCGTTCAGGAGGATTTTCTTGGGCTTGGGGATGTGTTTCAGCTATGCCGCGCTACTCACCAAGACTAACAGGATACACCGCATCTTTGAACAAGGGAAGAAGTCTGTAACTGCACCCAGGTGAAGATTACGGCCGCCTGTCATTATACACAGTCACTGTTCGCCCTCTGTGTCTTCGGCACACGTAGATTTCGATATGTGTCGTGCCACTGAAGGTCGATGTTAGTGTGTATTCACAGGAAGACCTTACCTCCACTTCTTCCTTACTAAGCTGCTTGCAATCATTATTCATCATTTATTTCCCATCCATTATTTATGAGAGTCATGAACTCACACTCACCTATTGTACTGTTTGCACTCCGTGTGAATGACTCTGGGAAAGAGCATCAACTAAGTGGCTAAAATGTTAATGCGGTATTTAATAGTGCTCAGGTTCGTGTCCCTGCTACCCAGATGGTCATCTGTTTCTCCTTCAGCACCACCCAGCTCTAAGAGTTACTCTTGTAGAGATATTACTCATACATATAAAGATAGAGAAAGAAAGATTTTTTTAGGATTTCCTAAATTTATTGCTTGTTTTCCAGGAAAGACTGGGCATTATTTAGTTGTTTTTCAGTTGTTTGTGACTGTTGCTCTTTTGTTTTTTTGTTATACATGTAGGTGCAAACAAGCTAATTAAATACATTGAACAAAACCTGCAACACAATTTGAGGTAAGGGCAGTTATCATACAATGACTTTCTGCAGAGAGGATTTTGAGGCTTTTTTCAGGTTCTAGTGTGTGTTGTGTCTCCAGGTAGTCTGGCACTAAGCTCCCTTTGAGCCCGGGAGCTTGAAGGAGCAGGTTGTTTCCTCACTAAGGGTGTGAGTGAAAATATAGCTTTTGTTTTGGGGTATTATTTGCCCCCATTTTTGTCTCCCTGGCACCCTGGATGATCATCACATTTCCTCTCTCCAGTGCTACGTGTTACTATAACTGCTCCTCACTGCCCCTCTTTTTCATTCTTGCCTCGAATCTCATCACTACCTTTTCCCTGATCTCGCCCTCAACTCTTGGACTGTGTATGGCTGCTATATAGGAATATATTGCTACTGTGGAGTAGAAAACTTGAATCGACCTTTTATATACTATGAAAAACAGCCTTGTTTTCAGGTTGATGGCCAGGTGTTCTTCAGTTTTTTGAAATGTATTTGTAAAATACATTATTGGCCAGACATTTTAAGAAAATCTAATCTTGTTGAAATTGCATAACACATACAAAAGGCACTTTCTGCATGTACAAACTTGAAAAAAAAAAGTAATCAGTAATCCTCTTCCTCCCAGGTTCATCTCTCCGGCCTCCCAGCTCGTCATCACCTTCTCACTCATCTCTGTTCAGCTGCTTGGGGTCTTCGTCTGGTTCGCGGTGGACCCACCCCACACGGTCGTGGACTACGGCGAGCAGCGGACCCAGGATCCCATGGCGGCACGCGGCGTCCTCAAGTGCGACATCTCAGACCTGTCCCTCATTTGCTCCCTGGGTTACTCCATCCTGCTGATGGTGACGTGCACAGTGTATGCCATCAAGACGCGAGGCGTGCCCGAGACCTTCAACGAGGCCAAGCCCATTGGATTTACCATGTACACCACCTGCATCATCTGGCTGGCGTTCATACCCATCTTCTTCGGCACGTCACAGTCCGCCGAGAGGGTAAGTGTGTCTATGTTTATGGAGTTTTTGTTTTCGTGTCAATCCTACTTTATACCTGACCTGCATACTTTAACTGCTGTTTTTACCATTTTCTTTGTGAACTACAGTCTACAGAGAGTGTGAGTATAATGCAGATGTCTGTACTTCATCCTCATCATCTTTAGGATTTCTGAGTCTGCAGAAAGGATGAGACCATGTGTGTCTGCTAGTCTGTGCGTCTATCTGTTGGATTACCCTGTAAATGACCTGTTTAAAGCTTTTTTTTTTAAACATCACAGTCTACAGGAAAGATTACTTCTGGGTGAATTTGGTCTATGTGTGTGTATTCGTGCTTGTGTCATGCTAATGTATATTTGTGTGAAATATCTTTCATAACACAACAATTCACTGACAAGTGGGTTGTGATGATGTGGTTTATGGGCTTTCTGGGAGCATGACTAAACTCTCTTGAGACCATTTTGCAGCATTATTAAGTTTTGGAATCACTTTTTTGAATCATAGATTTGCATGTGTTGCTATGGCAAAAAGTCTGCTTTCTCTCTCCTTGTCTCACAACTTTTTGGAGATCAAAACTACATCTCTTGGCACCAAGAGATAGATGTGTTTCAATTGTAGCTATACTAATGGCTTAGTGTCCAAAATCTCCTGACAATCCCTCCGAAGCACAAGAGGATTTTCTTTCTGGCTGATTGACTGGATCCATGCCTTGGTCCAGGCTTTTAGAGGGTTGTACTGTAGAGCTTATTCCTCCTACCTTTAGTCAATTATTGATGGCCGTATGATGAAAGTAAGATGTAACTTTCACAGGGTTGAGGTGTGTGTCTGTCTGCATGTGTGTGGGAAGAATTTGTCGAGTTCAGGCTTTACCTAATGAATAATAGTTTCATTATGGATTCACAGTAAATTATCTGTATGTATATTGCATTTAATATAATATTTTAAGTTGTGAGTTATCAGCTTTTACATACAGTTATCTACACCCATATGCACATATACACATACAAATAAAGAGACAAACAGGGTGGTTCCCAACTACAGAAGGAGTCCTAAGGTAAATTGTGTTGTGTCTTTCAGGTCTGGCTATTATTGAGCTGATATCATGTATCAAAACGGTTGGTTTAACAGCTCATTGCTTATGTTCATAAGGCCATAACCTGTGATGAGGGGTCACAAGTAGCTCTTGCTTGATTTTACGAGGTTGTAAGCTAAAAGGTTGGGAGAATGATAATCATGTATGTAAGTGATTGATTGCGTGACAGCCTAAAATAGATGTCCTTTTACCTTATCAGTTTAAAGTCAGATGGTTTAGGGGGCATGAACATACATACTATAAAAAAAAGCTAATCTGATTCATAACAACACAGTATGCAGTAAAGCACTGTGTTTACTTTTACTGCTAAAGCAGTGGTGGTTTAGTGATTCAATTTCTTGATAGTTTTAACAATAAAACACTCACATACACTCAATGAACTTCGAGGCAGGGCTTCGATTGTAAATGTCACAGGTTGTACATCACAATGCTAAACCTTTGTATAGTGAAAACGTGCACATACATCAGATAGGTAAGTAGTAAATGGACACAAAGGCATTGTGGCGAACAGAAAGATGTGACTGTATCATTCACAGGTTTAAAGTATAACATAATATGGGTGTACACACATGCACTGTAGAGATAGAAATTCAAAGCTGTATAATCAATGTACAGCGCTAAAACAAAGTGTGTCCTTGAGAGTGCATGTAAATCCATCTGCACAATCTCAAATATCAATATTCTGTCCAACTGTGTCATCCTCTTCTACATAACTTTTATAGTCCGGCCTTATTTTGGAGTGTCAGTCAGGCAATTTTCATTTCTTCCTTTCCTTGCGTCTTAGCCCATTTTCCTTTCAAGGCGGGTGCCCGCCTCTGTCGCATGGCAAAAAGCTGACATCAAAGTGATCCCGTCTAATCACACATCAGGGAAATCATACTCTAGCTGGATGTTTCATAGTGTTTTCCCTTTGCTCACTCTCATTTTTTTTGAGAACCTTCAAGAAGCCAGGGAGTTACTGATGCAGGAAGTTTTAAGTGACTCAGTGAGTTTTTTTTTCTTTCTTTTAAAGCAATGCCCTTTTTTCATTCCACCACATTCACACAATTATAGCCTAATAAGGAGAACATTATTCACTTTCCCCAGACAGAGGCTTTAATCCAGTCATGGGTTTCAAACAGGTGACCTTATGACTGCCGGCAGCTTCTCTAACCTTTAAGCTACTGTGTGTGAGCGACAGAGAACCTGCGTATGTTGTGGGAGTCCATGACCTTCCATGTATTGTACTGTGTTTGTGACCTCATGTACTGTAGGTGCTAGTCGTGGTACCTTTAGGGCGCGTTCATGTGTATGTGTGGCTACCAAAGCAATTTGTGTGTGTTTGTACGCGCTTTATATGGGTATATCTGGTGTGTGTGTGTGCGTGTTATCCGACATGCTGAGGCGTCCTGTCTTACCGGTTAGACTGAGCAGCGTCCATGCCATGTTTGCTCAGCTAATTAGAATGTCCACCAGCAACTTCCTGTGTATTTGCGTTTGAGTGTGTTTGTCTGGTGTGTTGTATTTAATTGGAATATCCACCAGTGCACATTTGTGTGTCTGTGTATGTTGTTTCTAATTGGAATATTCTCTGGAGTGTGTGGCAGCTGGCTGGCTAACAGAGAGAGCAGAAGAGAGGGAGGAGAGAGACGAGTGAAAGGAATAAACAGGTAATGATGTGACTCGCTGATGGGGCTTTAATGAGGAGAGCTCTACCAAGGGCATAGGTTTGGTTTCTGATGGGGGGAAAAGCTACAATGAAGTTAGTTGGAGGTTAGATGACAACATGACTCACATTATGATTGACCTTGTCATCAAACAGCTATCATCCTCTGCTTAATTATTCTTCAGTAATATTAGTATTAAAACTGTGTTTGTTGGTCTACCGTTAACACATCACTATACAGCAACACAACTACTGATAATCACTCTTAGATACTTAACATGAGCATACCTAGAACATCAGATCAGAGTTTTTCATCTTTTTTGCACTGTTTGTGACCTGTGCTTGCTCTAAAATGTGCTAATGGCTGCTGCTCATTTGTTATTGCTATTGGGGCTTGTGATGGGGCTCCTCCACCACGTGTGCTTCAGTGCTTCTTTTCAGGGTCACTGTGGTAGATAGCATCTCTGTGGGAGGGTTTTAAACTTTGCCTTCTCTTGAATAAAACTAAAACCTTAACTCAAGGTCAACTTAGTATTTTTTGTAAGATTTTTCCATCCTATCTCACAGTCTACGTAGTGAGAGCAGCACCTTAGGAGAGCAGCAGCAACAGCTCCGGTCCTCCATCAGTGAGATGTGTTCAGTCACAGTTGGGGTGTCACCGTACCAGAAATGTAGTAGTCAATATGAATACTAATGAAATTCCACAATTCTCAATACCCAATTTGATACCACAGTAAAAAACAGAAACAAAATATATATAATTATCATGATTATATAATAATTCTAATTATAAAGTCACAGCTCACCATGAAACCTCTCTCCTGCCGGGAAGACTGACTAAAGTCAAACTGCCTTCCTTTTTTGTCACAGTTTAGTTTTTTTGAGACTTTGTATTGTTACCAAGGCAGAAACAGTCATTACAGATGAATGCCAGCTAGCTATCTGCTTGCTAGCATCTAGCTAGCTAGTGCTAAGTCACAAAAAAGGACACCTTTTTGAACCTGACGTGTTGACCTTATGAGCAGCTCTCAATGACACACACACACAAACTCAACTGACAATGTGTGTAATGGGAAAATATTCAATCTAATGTAATGATTAGAAATTAATAAAAGTAAGGAAATGTATGGCTTTATTTATGTTTGCAGTATTATTGTCAGTGGGTTTTTCAAGACTTATATTATTTGCCAATACTATTTGGAAAGCCTTGGCATGGATAAGTTTGGGAGCCGCTGGTTTAGATTTTAGTTTGTGATATCACATATACACATCTGCAGTTTCCCATTCTGGATGTACCAGCAGAAACATGAAGGTGTTACATGGTTTGTGGTCATTGCACTGTGAATCTAGTAAGTTGATCTTCAGATGTTTTTTTCTAAAACAATAATTACAAGGTCGAGAACAGAACTTTGATGCTCAGCTTCTTTTTAATTATTGGCTAATGTCTCAGGAGCCTTCCTCAGGTCTTATTCTCTTCTGTCAGATATATAATTTTCCTGTGACCAGTGTGTATTTAGGATACTACTATAATCAATCTTTCATCTAATCGCCTTTCCCTAGGTTCGGTTTTTTACAAGATGTAAAAGCCTGAATTGACTGGGAGGAGTGCTGGGTCTCTCTCTGTGGTAGAGTGAGATCTGCAGAGTAGTCAGAATCGAGCAGAATACAATAATGAAGCCTATAGAGCTAGTTAAAAGGTACAGTGTGTGCTCATATAACAAGGGTTACAACGCATACCTTCCACCTAGAAATCCTTTCCTCATAACTACTGGGTTGAATACACCTTAAAAGTCTTTCCATACTCTCTGGGTATGTCAAATGCAGGCTTCTGTCCTCACCCACTCGCTGTCACTTGCTTCTCTTTCCCTCCCATGTACTTTTGTATAGTCCACGACCTGTTCTCACATGCTCCTCTTCTAGTATATCCGCTACCTCTCATTCCTCCCCATTGCCCGTGTGCTGTCCATCACACTCCCCTCCTCTGAATACTCAACACGGACTCTGAGTCACAGCGAGTAGACAAAAGAGAGGAGGAGAAACACAGAAAGACAGAGAGATAGAAATTGAAACGGGAAAGTAACAGCGAGAGACAGGGACACGCAGGGACATGGTGAGACATGGAATAAGAATGTGAGAGATAACTCAAGGAAGAGGGAGAGAGGGATTCTTTACCATCACCAACGAGGGAAGCATTGTTTTGAAATAGGTCATGCTACCATGCAGAGGCTGCTGGCTCCAAACAGCTTCTGCCGCACCCTGCAGAAA